TTTCACTACGTAGACCTGGCTGTCCCAGAACTCATTCTGTAAAACAGGCTGGCCTCGAACCTACAGAGATTCACCTGCTTCTGCCTCCCAAATGCTGGATTAAAGATGTACACCACCTGGTAAGACAACTTTTTTAAATCAGAGGATATAGCTGGTAAATTTTTGTGCTAAATACATCCCATGTAGGGCCAAGTGCTCCTATGTCTCTTACTCTCTGCACATTGTCCAGTTGTAGGTCCCTATGTTAATTACCATCTACTGAGGGAAGCTTCTCCATGGAAGGTTAGTCAATTCACTGATCTATGAGCAAAATGTCATTAGGTGGTGTTTTATTGCTATCTTTGTTTAGTGGAATAATGATGACAGGTTTTCCTGTAAGGACCATGATCTGTGAAGTCTTAGGCCCTATGCCTTATTTATAATGTCTGGTATGGTTTCCATTTCATGGAGGAGGTCTTAAATCCAATTTAAAAAAAAAAAAATCATTGTCTGGTTACTCCCTCAACATTCATACCACTATTACATTAGTAGACATATGTTACAGGTTGGTCACTGTTGTAGCTCACAAGTTTTGTAGCTGGGAGAAATTGATTGCTTTTCTCCTATAGTAGTGTGTATATTACCTTCCAAGACTTTGAACACTAGACAGTAAGTAGGGATGAAACTTCCAGTTGAGTGCCATCTCTATGTTTCATTGTTCTATGATGGCAGGAATAGATCTCATCTCTCTACTTACCAGATGTAACTCCTGCTGTGTCTCTTAACTTCACAGCGACTATCTTCTGTTGTTGGAGCTTAGTTAACCCCAAGTTCCCTTTGGTTGAGGTGTTGCTCTTAAAATGATGTAATAAATGCCAACAGTAATCAGGAGAAAGAGAGACATCCTGTAGAGAATTCCATAAGTAGGATGACACCTAAATCTGTTTTTATCTCTGGAATTTCTAGAATGTGGCATTTCTAGAAGAGAACATTTGGGTGATGACCTAAATATTTACTTGGAATTCCAGACATATGTTTACTTGAAAACTCAGTATTTTCCCCTATAGACTTTTTTTTTTTTTTTGTATATTGGCTAACAACATTAACAGTTTTATTGATTATCATGTCTTTTTTGTTAAGAAAAAATGATTGAGGGTGGAGAAATGGCTCAGTGATTAAGAGCACTTGTTCCTACAGAGGACCTGGATTCCCAACACCCACATGAAGATTCACAACCATCTATAACCCCAGTTGCAGAAGATATGATGCCCTTTCTCACTCTCTATGTGTGCTGGCATGCACATGGTGCACAGACATATATGTGAGCAACATACCCATGCACATTAAATAAATATAAAGATTTATAATAAGCCGGTGGTAGCACAGGCCTTTAATTCCAGCACTCGGGAGGCAGAGGCAGACAGATCTCTGTGAGTTTGAGACCAGCCTGGTCTACAAGAGCTAGTTCCAGGACAGCCTCCAAAGCCACAGAGAAACCCTGTCTCAAAAAACAAAACCAAACAAACAAACAAAAAAAGATTTATAATATACCATGTGTTATAAGTATTAGTTATTTTCAGACAAGATCTCTAAAAGAACTTGATCCAGAAGGGGGATTAAGACTAAGAATTGACAGTACCAAACAGAAAGCTTTGAGTGCCACAAAAGAAAATAGTCTTCAAGATTAATGGAAACAGAGGCTACTTGATGATTTTGGTTGTCGGTGTGCTACTTAGGGAGATAGTGGGACATTGCTCAAAAGGATAGGTTTAAAATTCTGTTGTTTCAGAGAGGAGAAAGGACTCAAATGGCCACATGTGGTGGCACATGCCTACAAAACACTTGTGAAACTGAGGAAGAGGAGGATTATAAGATTATGGCCATCCTGGGCTACATAGTGAGATCCTTTGAAACAGAAGCAAAGGTGATGTTAACATCTCAGGTAGCCTAGGTAGCTTTTTTTTTTTTTTTTTTTGCACATTGTGGACTTGAAACTTTCTCAATTGTATTATATTCTTGAAATTCTTTCTGTCTGGTCCATTGAAATTCAATGACTTAGCGAAAAGAAGGGCCTCATTAATGGAAGGTAAATGAAAAATACACATTTTAATTAAAAAAACGTAAGCATGTCACTAAGGAGACTGGGAATCAATTCAACAGAGCAAGGATCATAGTATTGTTTTCTAGCTTTCTCTGGTTTGTTTGGTTTGTTTTTTTTGTTTGTTTGTTTTGATTGTGTGTGTGTGTGTGTGTGTGTGTGTGTGTGTGTGTGTGTGTACATGCGCATGTGCTTGTGCATGTGTGCAGGTTATTTTTAAAATAATAATAATTTAGAAAGCTTATGTTAGAGAATTAAATATTAATCAAAGTTGCTGCTGCTCTTAGATTGCTGAAGAAAGCACAGTTTTTAAAATTCTTTAAATGTTTTGTGGTGTGTTTTTAGAGGAAACAAAATACTAAACGAATTGAACTGATTGATGGTTGGTTCCGTAAAAATATAAAACCCAGTTTGATGCTTGTTCTCCAGGTTTTCACACCAAGACTCAAACAGGATAGGGTTCAGGGTTTGGTTCAGACTAAACAGAGTTGGTGAGGTGGAGCTGGAAAGATAATTCAACAGAAAGTTTTGTGGTTGATTTTTTTGTTGTTGTTTTCATGCTTATGAGGGTAGATGAAGAAGAAGACATTTTAGGCAGAGAAAGTTCAGAGCCAGGGTAAGCCCCATTGTGTTTTGTGTGAACAGGATATGTGATTCAAGCTAACTGGAGCATAGAAGTCAGTAGAAAGGTTAGACAAGTGAGGTTGGAGTAGATGGTGGCTGACTTTAAGTTTAAGAACAGGATAATATCATGTAATTTTGTGCGCATGTGGTGGCTGACTTTAAGTTTAAGAACAGGATAATATCATGTAATTTTGTGTGCATGTTCATTCATGTGTGTGAGCCACCTGAACCACGGTACACATGTAGAGGTCAGCAAACAGCTTTATGTGTCAGTTCTTACCTTCCACTGTGTGAGACAGGATTGGACTGCTGAGTACACCAGGCTAAGTGGGGAACTTGTGAGGAATTCTTAGTCTCTACTTCCTATATTCCCATAGGGGCACAGCAATTACAGAAATGAATGTTAATGCTTTTACCTGGGTGCTGAGGATCCAAACTTGGATCATCAGGCTTGGGGGAGGCAGCATTTTATACATTGAATCATCTAGAGCAGATGTCAGATCTCATTCTTTAAGAGATCTGAAGTCTGTTTGTTACAGTGTTTATAACACAAATATGTTATTGATAATTGCAGATTGGTGTCAGTACAGCAATGAAGTTATGCTACTTCAGTTTTCCTAGCATATTGTTGTTTTGTAGCAGTCCTGAACAAACACAGCAATGAAGTTATGCTACTTCAGTTTTCCTAGCATATTGTTGTTTTGTGTCCTGAACAAACGTTTTTTAAAACTTAATAGAGACCTTTAACAATATAATAGGTTTTTATGGAAAATACTGAATATCCTGCAGAAGACTCTTTTAGTGAAAACAGTTTCAGGAGTAGTTTGAACTCCACAGTATTGAACTGGTGAAACTGAGAACCTGGCAGCTGTGAGGACATTAGACCTTAGAAGAACTTTTGTCTGCTGGTTAGTTGAGAGGTCTACATCCTCTATTATGTGTTCCTTATTCAGCAGTCTTCAAGGGTGCAAAAGCCCTGAAGAACTTCCATCACAAAACAGAAAGAAAATGGGCTTCAGAGGGTTGAAGACCATAATGCGAGGGGTAAATGTGGATGAGTAACAATTTGTTTTGGTGTATTTTTGCCATTTGAGACAGGGTCTCACTCTGTAGAGCCTAGGCTGCCCTGGAGTTCCAGATTCTCCTGTCAGTTGAGAGCCACCATGCCTAGCTGCGTTAGGACTTTTTATTATAGAGATTTATTTTTGTCTTAGTGTGGGGTTTTTGTAGTTGTTTTGTTTTGGGGGTTTTTTGTTTTGTTTTGTGTGCTATTTTTACTTGTGATTTTGTAAATGCCTCCCCCCCAAACACAATACACATAACACCTTCTAGCAAAAAGTTCTCTGGCACCATTTAAACAAAGGAAACTCAAAGCAATTATTTCCCTTAAAATTTTAATTTAAGCATCTTCGTAGGTACCAAGATCATTGAAATCTATTGACTTTTGAAGTCTATATGCTGCCTATTTATTTTTATATTTATTTATTTATAGTGTATGTGCACAAGCACAAAAGTCAGCAGACAGTTTTCAAGAAACATTTATCTCTTTCTACCATGTGGGATTGAACTCAGATTTCTGTTTGGCAGCAGGTACCTTTACTTGCCAAGTCATCTTTCTGTTCCATTTATTTTTTGTTATTAATTTGTTTATTGACATGTAGGATAGTGAACCCAGGTCTGTGCCAAATCTCTGCCATTGAACTAAAGCTTTGGCTCTTTAGTCACTTAATTTTGGATTGAAATTATTCATAATTTTAAAGGAAATTTATATTTGAAATATGTGTTCAGGAGGGAAAGGTCTTCACTGTTCTAGCTGGTCAGTACAACATGTTTTTAGTTTTTATCAGTTAAAACAATGAGTTAAAACTGGGCTTAGTTGGTACTTTGCCACAGTAGAAATCCTCTTTTTCTTGTGTTACTTTGCTTTCCTGAGATGGGTTCTTGATTATATACATGCTGGCTTTGAATTGGAGATCCTCCTGCCTCAACTTTCTAGGTGGTGAATTCCCAGGTGTATGCCAAGAAATGTGATTTTAGCCAGTGGTAGTACAAGTTCATTCTTGTAATCCCCATGTTTGCGAAGCTAAGACAGGAGGATCACTTAAAGTCTGAGGACTGCCTGAGTTATAGGATAAAATGCTGTGTTAAGGAAAGTCACTTTAAAAAGCTCTGCTACTTAAATGATTTATATTATCTCTGTAACTTTGTATAGCTTCATAAAACTAGTTTGTGATGTGCTACTATGTAGCATTTTGGAGATCTTTCACTTTTAAAAATAAAACCACTTTTTTAATTACAGAAAGACCCAAATGGGACCAGTAGTTTGCCAACTGGAAGTTCTCTTCTACAAGAATTTGAAGTACAGAATGAGGAGGTGGCAGCTTTTTGTCAATCCATTATGAAGTAAGGAATTTTATTTCTAAATTACAAATTCTTTAAATTAAAATGTCATTAAAAAAATACTTCATGTCTCAAAAAAAACAAAACAAAACAAAAACAAAAAACAAATCAAAGCTGGGCAAGGCAAAGGCAGCATATCTCTGAGTTCCAGGCCAGTCAAGGCTACATAGTGAGACTTTGTCCCACAAACACAAAAACCAAAACTTGTTACTTCAGGCCAATCCTAAATTGTTTTCTTCATGTAGCTAAAATTTTGATCAAATAGTTAATTGGGGTGTAATCACAACCCACAGATGACTCTAGATCTTAACTTGCTGGGCTTCTAAGTAAGGCCAGGACTGGATCTCTGGTCCCTTACTTACAAGTGAAAATCTGGGTTGCATGTGTGTTTCCACACACCTCAAAAGTGCCTTCTGTTGTTTTTAAACAAACTTGCATTTTCTCAAAAAAAAAAAAAATGTAGTTTTTGTTTTTAGAGACACTGTTCAGTTTGTAGCCCAGGCTGGCCTCAAACTTTCAGTCTTCCTGTCTAGGCCTCCTGTATTCTAGGTTAACAGGCATACAGGCCCATTTTTTCACAAACTTATCTAGCATTCAGAATGCTATCCCACTTATTTAATAAAAATGTTTTATAAACATTAGAAAAATATAGCTGTTAAATATTTTCTCACTCCTGTATGTCTTAGACAGTATTGTTTTTTTTGTTTTGTTTTGTTATTGCTGTTTCAGAGACGGGGTCTCTAGCCCAGGCTGGCCTCAAAGTTCTGGGTAGCTGATGATATCTTGAACTTTTTCTTTGGATTTTAGAAATAGGGCTTCTCTACGAAATAGTCCTGGCTATTCTGGAACTCCATTTATAGACCAGACTAGCCCCAAACTCGTAGAGATCCACCTCCTCTGCCTCCCGAGTTCTGGAATTAAAGGCGTGCACCACCCCTGCCCAGATGATTTTGAACTTTCATTGCTCCTGCTTTCACCAAGGGCTGGGATTACAGTCATGGGCTACCACTTCCAGTGTTATGCAGTACTGGGGATGGAACCCAGAGCCTCAATCATATTAGGCAGGTTCTCTACCAACTAAGAGCTACATTTTCAGCCCTTGTACCATATTCTTTATAGATGAAAAAACTGGGACTCCAAGGAAATACCTTAACAAAGTTTTCTCTGCTGTCAGTACGGTGCCATATCATTTTTGCTGCTGGTTAAATGTTTGTTTCCATTATGTGATTTTATCAGTTAGAGCTTGTGTTACATTCTACTATGGGATCTGGGAATCAAACTCAAGTTGTCAGGTTTGTGCAACAAACACTTACTTGCCTGCTGAAGTGTCTTACCATTCCTGTTTTGTTTGGTGAAACAGGGGAGGCCTCACTCTGTAGCCCCTGCTAGACTGCAATGTATTATGTAGGCTACACTGTCCCTGAACTCACAGCAATCCTTCTGCCTCAGATTCCCTAGTGCTGGGGTAACAGGTATGCTTCAGTACTCCCACCTTGAATTCACTTTTTTTTTTAAAATTTGAAATAGGGTTATTCATTATATATCCAAAGATGACCTTGAACTTGGATCCTTTTGCCTGTACTTCTCAAACCCTACGATTACAGACCTGCTACCATGAAGGCTTAAATTCATAATTTACGTCTTTCTTCAGACCCTTCAGACTTTCTTCAGACCCTACACAGACTTTCTGTGTAGTTTCATGATGTTTTTTACTCTTTTGGCTTTTTGAGGGCCCCTGCCTCCCAGCTCCCAAGTAAATTACACACGGTGGCTTACAAATGTTTCGCCTTAGCTTGTCTTGTTTTTAGTCAGCTTTTCTTATCTTAAATTAGCCCAACTACCTCTACCTTTTCCTCTGGGCTTTTATCTCTCTCTCTCTCTCTCTCTCTCTCTCTCTCTCTCTCTCTCTCTCTCTCTCTCTCTCTCTCTCTCTCTCTCTCTCTCTCTCTCTTTTGTAAGTCTTTCACTCTTGCTCCCTGGCTGGCTGGGTGGCTGGCCCTTGATGTTCTCCTCTCCTTCTCTGCTTGCACCTCCTTCTTCATTCCTCCTTCTATTTATACTCTTTGCTTGCCAGCTCCACCTGTCCTTGCTCCTGCCTGGATATTGGTCATTCAGTTCTTTATTAGGACCACCAGGTGTTTTAAACAGTCATAGCAACACTGTTTCACAGAGTTAAACAAATGCAGCATAAACACAAGTCACACACCTGAAAATAATATTCCCCCTTTCCTTTCCTTCCTTTTCTTACCATGCTCATCCCCCATGTGATTTAGCTTCATTTTTTCCTATTGTAAATGGGACTTCTTAAGACAGGGATTATAGCCTTTAACTCCATTTTGCTAGCAGAGAGGAAAAGTGAATCTTAGCCAGTCAGAGAAAAGTTATGCAGAAGACTGGAGCAGCGAACTTGAAAGTAGAAGACAAAATCTGCTTTCTTATGCAGGGAAAGTGATCACCAACAGGGATTTATTCTGAATTAGAGCTGTCTTCAGTAAAAAGGATTCCTTTTTAAGCAGATCATGGGGATTACCCCCCCCCATCATTTTTGAGTTTATATGCTATTTTGGTTAATGGTTTAGAAGTATATTTTACCTTAATGCTTTATAAATAATGTTACATTTCTTACATAGTTTCTCCCGCCCTCAAGTACTATGTCATTTCTGTTAAATTGTTTTGACTAAGTACTACATTTAAACTTTGCAAGTTAAAAAATTAAGTTCTTTATGATTTGCATTTTGAATTGTAGAGCTGTTTTCAAAAACGTCCCAGCTTAGCTAAGTGATTACAGTCCTTCCTTGGCTAAGATGGGCACATTCTATAACTCGTCAGCAAATGTCTGAAAGTGAATACTGAGTCCTATGTAAATTCTGCTTTGTAAAACATGTGTCTGAAAAAATTAACTTATAGGGGTCATTCCATGGCTCAGTAGGTAATGGTGCTTGCCGTCAAGCCAGATAACTCGTTTGATTCCTGAAATCTACTCCCTCTGGTTGTCCTCTGGACTCCACCTATATGCCCCCTTCCCACATAAATTAATTTGCTTATTATTTTATGTGTGTGAGTGTTTTGCCTGCATATATGTAAGTATACCATGTGCATACCTGGTGCCAGAAGAGGGCATTGGATTCCTCTCAGGATTGGGGTTGTAGACAGTTGTGAGCTGCCATATGAGTTCTGGGAATGGAACCTAAATCCTCTGCAAGAGCAGCAAGTGCTTTTAATCACTAAGCCAACTCTCCAGCTCGATCAAATAAATTTAATTTTTAAAAAAATAGTAATTTATAAATGACAGCATCAATCTCAGCAGCCTGAGCACATAATTTTTTTTCTTCCTTTATTGGGTCAAGATTTTATTTGCTTACTGGAAGTATTTTCAGACCATGGTTGACAGGACAGTAACTGCAACTGAATAAGGATGCTGCTTTATTTATTTGCACATATATGTTTATATTCAGAGTGGCTTATTTAATATGTAACTCCAGATAAATCAAATAGAAAATGAATTCTTATTCACTGACTTCCAGGAATATGGTTGCAGCAACTTTTAGAACAGAGGTTTCTGAAACCATGTTCCAGGAATTTTTCTTTTTGCTCTGTAAACATGAAGATCTCTCTCTCTCCTCTCTATAGTCTCAGTCCTTCCATGCTGGGAGTTGAACCCTGGACCTCATATATGCCAGACATCACTGTAACACTAAGGTTCTTGGCTCTCTTCTCCACCCCCGTTTTGAGACAAAAACTTGCTTTGTAGCCCAGACTGAACTCATTTATAATTTTCTACAATGCCTGACCCATTGGGAGACTGAACCCAGCATGCACATAGCTGCCGAGCTACATCCGTAGTACCTAGTTTGTTGTTTTTTAGAAGTCTTCTAAAAATTATTGATGCCATCATTTTGATTCAGCTGTGAAATCAGCATCAAACTATTAGGATGCTGTATGTGCTTACAGTTGAAATTTACAGTATAGCAGTTTTAACAATTCAGTGCCAGTTTTAGGCCTGGGCTTTGTCAATGAAATGAAAGAGTTGAATTAGTGAAGGTCTTTTGCTTTGACTCAGGGTTGCCTTTCATTATATTTGTTTCTTTTTCTTGATAAAACTTGCTTATCTAATAATTATGGTCTAGAAAATAAGTTTTTAAAGTATGTTTATGTAATAGGCTTGTTTTGGAATAATGAAGATTGAAACTAGGACACTAGGCATGGCATCTAGCACTGAGCTCCAGCCCGGGCCTGTGGTTATTACTGCTTCCTCTATGTTTCTCTATCACAAAATGAGAAACTGTATTCTATGCCTACCTTTTCTTTGTATGTGATTCAGATCTCATACTTATGCCATATAATGATCTTTTTATTATTAGGCAGTATTGTACAGAAAAAGTTTCATTGCAACAATTTCATACATGCAAATAACATTGAGCATACCCTCTCCCCCATAGTATCTTAATTCTAAGACATCCCATATGTTTTCAAAGATTGACTTCATCTTTGAATTAATATTTATTAGGTACTGTCTCTTGCAGTCCAGTTTTACCTTGAACTTGCCATAGAACTGAAGATGTCAAACTGCCAATCCTCCATTCTCAGTCAGTTCTCAGATTAACTGAGAATTATGTATCTATTTTATGAATTCTATTTATTATTTTTTTTGAGACAGGATCTCACTATGTAGCCATGCTGACCTAGAACTCTCTTGATAGACCAAGCTGACCTCAACCGAAAGATCTGCCTACCTCTGCCTCCTGAGTGCTGAGATTAAAGGTCCAGCTTTATTTCATGAATTTTAGCAAATAATACAATGCCAAGTATGTGTGAAATAATTATGATATTATATATAATATATTTTTATATATAAAAATAATAAGTTATAAAGGGTAAGTTTGGCCGCAACTAAATATCTTACAGTGTTCATATGTCAAGATAAGGTTCTAATATCAATTCAGCTTTTATCACTTTGATCACATTTCATCTTTTTAAAAAAATTATTTGTGGGGTCTAGAGAGATGATTCAGCAGTTAAGAGCACTTATTGCTCTTCCAGAGTACCTGGTTCAATTCCCAGTACCCACATGGCAACTCACAACTGACTGTAGTAACTTCAGTTCCAGGGGATCCAACACCCTTTACACAGATGCACCAATGCAAATAAATAAATAAATCATTAAAAGAAAGAAAAAATTATTTGTAAATTTTGCATATATAGTTTGTATGCAGTTATGTACATGTGAGTGCTGGTGCCAGTAAAGGCCAGAGACATTGGATCCCCTGGAGCTAGAGCTATAGGTAATTGTGAGCCACCTGACTTAGGGGTTGGAAATCAACCTTGGGTTCTCTGCAAGAAAAGTATACACTTTTAACCACTGAGCTCTCTGTCCTGTCCTATATTTTTTCTTTTTGATATTGGATCCTGTGTAAGTGTTGTCTGAGATCACGATGTAGAAACCACATTTATTCTTTCACTGATTCATTTATTTTATTAAGACATTTACAATATTTGTTATATAGTAGGCACTAAGTGCTTTATAAACTTATTTTACATGTTCTTATGACAACCCTGAGAACTAAATAGTCGTATTACCCTGAAGCAAAAGAATGTCAGTAACTCAAGTGCGTTTACACAGCCAATAAGTAATAAAAAAACAAGGTTCAAATTCAAGTAATCTGCCATACAGGTTTTGTGTTGACTGTTGAATTTGCTCTTGTCATCTCAAACTGTTTTATTCTGTATGTATTCCTTGAATAGTTTACTATCCATAGAAGCACAAAGTATTTCCAGTATGCATTCCATTTAAGGTCTCTTGAAAAACAGATGATTGCTAAATGTATAGCTCAGTAATGGTAATGGCCTATGTGCCTACAATGTATGAGGCCTTGAGTTCAATCCCCAGCTCTGCAAAAAGAGCAGGAAAAAAAAAGAAGAAAAACAGATAAGGTGAGTGGACTGGGACATTTTATCAACCTCCAGGAAAAGGCAGTTACTGGGACCTGTGAAGTTGACAGTATTAAATCTTACCTTTCTTAAAAAAAATGTTTATTTGTTCATTTGTTGTGCTTATGTGTGTATAAGTGAGTGTGAGTTTTGTGTGGAGGGACATGGCATGGCAGGTGTGTGAAGGTTAGAGGACACTTGGGAGGAGTTGGTTCTCTTTTTCTGCCCTGTAAGTCCCAGGGATTGACTCAGATTTTCAGGCTTTGGTGGCAAGCACTGTTACACACCAACCCATCTTACTAGCTCCTTCCTCGAATCCATTATGGCAGTCCTGTTTGGAGATGAGCTACATACTATGTTCATGTATTTACATCTAATTGTGTTGTTACTATGAATACCTTTGTTTGTAACCCCTAACTTTTCTTTCTTTTTCTTTTTTGAGGGGGTGGGGGAATTTGTTTGGGGGATGTTTGTTTTTGGTTTTGTGTTTTCAAGACAGGGTTTATCTGTGTAGCCTTGGCTGTCTTGTAACTCACAAAGATCTGCCTGCCTCTGCCTGCCTCTGCCTCCTGGGTGCTGGGATTAAAGGCATGGGCCACCATGCCTGGCTTGACCCCTGATTTTTAAGGTACCCTTATAGTACTAAACTATTTTCTATTTTTCCTTGTCTTATAACCACAAACAAGTATTTATAGAAAGAAAAAAAAGTACTGATTAGGAAAAAAATACTTTGAAAATATAGAAACTTTTTATCCCTCTGGTATATATAATTTTTAGTTACATTGTTTCTGTCAATAATTCATTTAAAACAGACTACTTTATTTAATTGCATTGTGCAGCCTAAGAATATAAAGCAGAGAACCTCATTTGTTGCCAGCCATCTCTGGAATGCCTACATCTTGTTGACAGTGTTACCAAAGAGATCCTGGCACTAGTTAATCTCTTCTTTTTCCTTGGTTCATTCATTGCTATTCTTTCTCATGAGCTGCTCTGGAGTTGGACAAAGATACAAAATTGAGTAGCTGAAAGCATGTAAAGCTTTGTTCAGGGCTCTCAATTGCAGTTTAAAAACAAAACAAACGTATTTAATATCTTTTTTCTTATGAACAGATTGAAGACCAAATTCCCACATACTGATCACTGCACAAATCCAGGCTATTTGTTAAGTCCAGTCACAGTGCAAAGAAGCATGTGTGGAGAAAATGCCAGTGTGAAGGTCTCCATTGAAATCGAAGGATTTCAACTACCAGTTACTTTTACATGTGATGGTAAGTTTTGCTTTGACTGGGAAGAAAATGTTTCAAATGTCAGTGTATTCTTTCCTTTCATAAACCAAATTTGTTATCATTCCTTATCCTTTTAAAATATTTGTATTCATTTGGAAAGTTTTCTGGTTAAGTGAACCAGGTCACAGTAGGACTATTTCTCTGAGTATAATAAATTGGTTCTTAGCTAAGGCCTAAAAGTGTTAGCTATCAAAGCTAATTATAATACTTTCCTCTGCTTTTATGGCAAGGAAAGTGCTTTCTTACAGAGAGCTTCCGGTGACAGGAACCTTCAGATCACTTCCTAATCTCTGCAGGGAAGGTAGTTCTCCTTTAGTGTTAATTTTCCCTTCCAAGCTTGGGTAAATATCCTCTCTAGATCTGTATCCTGGATGTCTGTAGTAGGCTTTTGTTACTTTTTTTTTTTTTTTTTAACTACATTGGCTTTCTTTCAGTTTATTTATAGTGTATTTAATTGGGCTTTGAATGGTGGAGTAAGTTTCCTATCTCTAGTAATTTAATTTAAGACTGAAGCCTTTTTTTTTTCCTCTAATGGTTTTAACCAGTAATGTATCTAGTATTTAAATATCTTCTGGTTTTGTATTTTTGGAAAGCCCTTTGAGAAAATATATCTGAAGCAAAATGTTAGCCAACTATAACAGTCATGCTTTAATTTCTAAAGGAAAACTTATGCCTTTTAAGTCATTTAAATTTGGTATACAGTAATAATATTAAATTTTTAAAGAGTCAGCAGGTGCTTTGAAATAAAACATGAGTAAAAATTGATAGCAAATGTTGATTTGTATCAAGTCTTCCAACAAAGTCTGAATAAATTCAGAATTATTGTAAATGTCTGTTGGTTAGTCATAAATGCATATTTATAATCTATATCTCATTAAGTGTTACTAGGCTGAAGGAATAGGTCAGTGGTATAGTACTTGCCTAATATGAATAAGGCCCTGTGTTTAATCCTTAGAACTAGAAAAAACTGTAAGCATTTTATGATAGACATATAGACTATATGATCAGATTATATATTTTTATTTGTTTTGGGTCTATTCAAAAATAGAGTTGTGTTATATTTTGGTACATAAAAACTTTTGATGCCAAGTCACCAGTTTTTATGTACTTTAAGAGCAGGTTTATCTTTTAAAAGTTGGACAGGCTTCCCAGCTGGTGATTCATGCCTGTAACCCCAACATTTAAAGGCTGATTCAGGAGTGCTATGATTTCAAGAGCAGCCTGGGTTACAGTGTCAGACTCTAAGAAGAAGAAAAAAGAGTTGGACACAGAAGTTTTAAGTATAAAAATTGATGATTAAAAAACTTTAATTTGGGGCTGCAGAGTTGACTCAGTGGTTAAGAGCACTTGCTCTTTCAGAAGACCTGGGTTCAAATTCTCAGCACCCACATGGCTGCTCACTGTCTAATAGAGCTAATAAGAGGCTGTGGAACCTTTGAAATGTGGCTTCAACTCCAGTCCCAGGTGATCTGACACTCTCTTCTGACCTCTGCTGGCACTTTGCATGCACATGGTGATAGATATATATACGAAAGCTTTAATTTTCTGTTCAATTGTCATATTAGTAGCTTACCTTTACCACAAGTAAGACTACCTACCTTATTTGCTCTATTTTTGGTCTTTGGAAAATCATTATGCAAATGTCTGAAGTAGTAATTCATTCTTTTTCCTTATAATTTGTTTTAAGACGCTACTCTCTAGGTACTGTTGACTGCTGCCCTATTTGAAGGAATGTGTAATATGGATGTGTCTTAGGGTTTCTATTGCTATGAACTCTTACAAAGGAAAGCATTTAATTGGGGCTAGCTTACAATTCAGAGGCTTAGTCTGTTATTGTAATGTCAGAAAATATGGCAGGATGCAAACAGACATGGTACTAGAGGAGGAGTTAAGAGTTCTACATCCTGATCCACAGGCAGCAGGGAGAGACTGTGCTATACTGGGTGTATGTAGCTTGCTCATATAGGATCTCAGAGCCTGCCTCCAATGTGACATACTTTCTCCAACAAGGCCACACCTACTCCTACAAGGCACACCTCCTAATAGTGCCATTCCCAGGGGGTGTGGTGTTACACACTTTTAATCCCAGCACTTGGGGCAGGAGAAAAGGCAGATCTCTGTAAGTTGAAGCCAGCCTGGTTGAAGGCTTCACACAGAGAAGCCCTGTCTCCAAAAATAAAATAAAATAAAATAAAATAAAAATAGTGTCACTCCCTGTGGGCCAAACATTCAAATACATGAGTCTGTGGATGCTATTCTAACTCAAACCACCATGGGATGTAACTTCCTCTATTTAGGCCTCCTAACAGTTAATAGAGGCTGTAGACCCCTTGAAATATGGCTCATCTATATTGTTAAATGCTGTAGATCCTGAATATACACTAGAGTTCAGAGCCTTAGCCAAAAAACAAAACAAAACAAAAAACAGGAAATAATATTGATAATGCTAAAATCATATATTTACATAGTTTATTTATTGCTTAGGATAGGGTATTGTTATGTAGCCCAGGCTGGAGTAAACTCTGATCCAATGGCCTCTAATAAATATTATTAAAATTGGCTTTGCAAGGTAGATGTAGATTAGTTGATAGAGTGCTTGTCATGAATCCATGAGATAGCTTTGATCCTCAGCACCACATAAATGAGGCATAATGGTGCACACCTGTAACCCCAGCACTTGGGATGCAGAAACAGAAGTATCAGAATTCAAGATCATCCTCTGCTTTTTAGTGAGTTATGGGCCAGCCTGGGTTACATAAAACCTGCCATACGTGCATGCACACACACACACGCACGCTCATACTCTCTGAGTGTGGTAGTGCACACTCTGCTTTTTAGTGAGTTATGGGCCAGCCTGGGTTACATAAAACCTGCCACACGTGCATGCACACACACACACACACACGCACGCTCATACTCTCTGAGTGTGGTAGTGCACAGCTTTAATCCCAGTGCTTGGATAAGAGGCAGAGAGGCAGATGGATCTGTCTCTGCCTTTTTTTTTTTTTTTTTTTAATGTATGTGAGTATTTTGCCCTTGTTATCTGTTCATCAATTTTTATACCTAGTGCCCTTGGAGGCCAGAAGAGGGCATTGGATCCCCTGGAAATAAATTATAGATAATAGAGAATTGTTACATGGTGCTGGGAATTGAACCTGAGTTCTTTGGAAGAGTAGTCAGTGCTCTTAGCTGCTGAGCCATCTCTCTAGCCCCTCTGTGAGTTTGAGGCCAGTGTGGTCTACATAGTAAGTTGAAGACCAGCCTGGGCTATATAGTGAGACACTGTCTCACAGAAGGAGAGAAATTTAAAGTGATACATATGACCTACAATTTGATATGCATTACATTTCTGTTATAGTGTCTTCTCTTTGTAAGTAATATTTAGAGGTAAGTGGGCAAAATGAAAATGACAACTAACTCTCTTTCAGTGAGTTCTACTGTAGAAATAGTTATAATGCAAGCCCTTTGCTGGGTACATGATGACTTGAATCAAGTGGATGTTGGCAGCTACATTCTGAAAGTTTGTGGTCAAGAGGAGGTTCTGCAGAAGTAAGTTTATTTACTTACTTATGACAACTGAATGGTATTTTTGGAGATTTCATTCTTAATGCCTTAAATTATAATTTATTCAATTTAGATTTATATTCTAAAAATATATTTGGATGCCAGCATGGTGTCACACATACCTTTAATTCCAGCACTTGGGAAGCAGAGGCAGGTAGGTGGATCTCTGTGAATTCAAGGTCAGCCTGGTCTACATAATGAGTTCCAGGCCAGCCAGAGCTACATAGTAAGATCCTGTCCCTAAATTCATTCATACATTCATTTATATTTTTATGTATTTATAAATTATAAGAAATATATTTGGTCCTGTTGTTGAAATTTGTATTGAGATTCACTGTATCTAAATAGTGGTAAGATTTCAGAAATAAGAAAGATATTGTATTCTCTTAAGTTTAGTAGCCTTATATGCTAAAAGTTGTAGCCAGTTGGTTAAAAGGGAAATAAAATAACTTTCTAAAAAGTCAGTAATCACATCATTTGTAGACTCCATTCTCCTTTGCAGCTTACAGTTACTATATATACAGAATCAGCTGTTACAGTCTTTTATTGGCCTGAAATAATCATTACATGAACTTTAGTAATTTGCTGTAGCTTACAATTAGTCCAATTGTTTTAAAGATCTAGACTTTATACTCTATCTGCCTCTTTATCTCCTTTCTCACTGACTCCCATAGAAAAATTCCTGTTTAAATGTTCACAGTTGGCTTGACAACAATGTGTTTCACCATTTTCTTCAGTTTTTCATACAGATACAATTTGTGTTTTACTTTTATGTCTGTAACTTGTGATTTGAATAGGATAATACCGATGGATAATTAATGTATTTTAACAGTAATCATTGCCTTGGAAGTCACGAACATATTCAAAATTGTCGAAAATGGGACACAGAGATTAAATTACAACTCTTGACCTTCAGTGCAATGTGCCAGAATCTGGCTCGAACAGTAAGTGTGTATGAATTGCATTTAGTGAATCAGAATAATTCTGATAATTGATTTTCAGTCTGTATGTTTTCCATTTTTTCTTCACTAGGCTGGGTTGATATTTTTGTTGTTTCTAGCAGGAGTCTTCTCAGAAGATCTTTGGTCATAGAAGTTTAGCTAGCACATTCCTCAGATCTAGAAGTATAAATTGGAAAAGCAAAATGAAAGAATGAAAATTTGTCTTTTTTTTTTTTTTGAATCAGAAGGAGATACACTATATAGCTAAGGATCACCTTGTACCACACATGACAAGTTTTATACAGTGCTGGAGTCTGAGCTAGGACTTTGTGCCAGTCATTCTGCTAGCTTTACTACATCTTTAGCCCTTGATTTTTCATTTTTTTTTTTTTTTAAAGAAAAAGCTAAGTTTACCTAGTTCACTGCAAGAGTTCAGCAGCCAAGAGCAGTAACATAAGAACTGCCTGCCCAAGTCTCATATTTAGTCAGTCTTACACAAGAGTGAAAATTTTGGGGATAATTAAGAGGGAACAAAGAAGAAAAGGGTATTGAATACTAAATAAGGGTTTTCAAGTTTCTCTTGAATATGTTTGCATAATGTGGAATGTAGGAGAGACTAGTACTTTTCTCATTGGTGATGAGCAGAGAATGGGACAAAACTTACTGAGGAAAAAAAAAAAAACAGCAGAAATTCAAATGATCTTTTCTCCATCTGGCCCCACCCTAGTTTTTGCCCAACTTCTTCCCCCATTGATTATTTGAGACAGGATCTTGCTACATAGCTTTGGCTGGCCTGGGCTTCCTTATATAGACCATATTGACCTTAAACTTGCTGCCATACCTGGATTGCATGTGTATACCATCTGGCTTCATCATAGACTAGATTTAGGAACATTTATCTTTTCCATTTTTTAAGAAATTTGTTACATATATTTATTTTGTATGTGTTTGTGTGCTCAAGTATGCTACAGTATGTGTGTGTTTAGGTCAGGAGACAACTTATGACAATTGGTTCTTTCTTTATACCATGTTAGTCTCAAGGATGGAACTCAGGTTATTAGACTTGGGGACAAATGCCATTATCCTCTGAGCCATGTTGCTAGCTCTGTAAAATATGGGTTTGTGGCTGGGTAGAGTACTCCAGTGTTAAGAGCACACTGGTTGTTCTTCCAGAGGACCTAGGTTTGATTCCCTGAACCCACATGATAGTCCACAATCATCTGTAGCTTCCTTTCTTGAGGATTAGCTCACAACCATCTGTAACTTCATTTCTAGGCCATCAAATACCCTCTTCTTACCTCTGAGCTCACCAGGCACCCACATGATGCACAGAAACACACACAAGTATAACTAACACCCATACATATAAAGTAAAATTTTAAAAATAGGAGTTTTAGTCAGATTTGATGGTATGCAAAGAGACAGGGGTCAAGAGTTCAAGGCCAGTCTTAGCTACATGAGACCCCCCCCCCTTTAGAATTAAAGGGGGCTGGAGATGGTTTGGAGGGAGTTGGCAATAACACAATGAATAAAGTGCTTGAGGGCTTGATTTTGGATTCCCAGTACCTATAAAAAGCTGGGTGTGGCAGAACACTAGGGAGAAAAAGACTGACAGATCTCCCAAGCTGGCTGATCAGCCAGTATAGCCATTAGATTAGCTCAAAGTTTAGTGAGAGAGCCTGTCACAACATAAGCAAAAAGCAATAGATGAAGACATATGATATTTGACTTCTGGCCTCTGTGTATGGACATACATATACACACACCATTGTGTGCACATAGGCAAAAATAAATAATGGAACATTTAAATATTTATTTATTTTTATTTTATGTACTTGAGTTTTTACCTTTGTGTTTGTATGTGTACCTCATGCATACTTAGTGTCCATGGAAGCCAGAACTGGGTATCAGGTGTCTTGAAACTGGAATTACGGATGATTGTGAGCCACCATGTAGCTCCTAGGAATGAAACCCAGATCCTCTGCAACAACATCAAGTACTCTTAATCTCTAAGCCATCTCTCCAGCTCTAAATAATGAATCATTTAAAATAATTAAAATGAAAAAAAAATAATTAAAATGAATTTTTCTTAATATTGACTAACTTTTTGAATCAATTATAAATAGTTTAGATAACATTGTATTTCCAGTTCTCAAAAATTAGTCTAAAGATTTCAATATCTATTTAACTATACTTAATTTGATAGAATGGCCAAAGAATTACATTTGATTATTCTTAAGCATGTATGTATGTATTTTAGGCAGAAGATGATGAAGCACCTGTGGATTTAAACAAATACTTGTATCAAATAGAAAAACCTTACAAAGAAGTCATGACAAGGTATGGCATTTAAAGTATTCATTTCAGGTTTTCAAACTTTGTTTTGAATGTGAATATATTTATTTTCTGTGATATCAAAACAACCACTGTGATTTTTTTTTTTAAATCCCTTTTCATTTCAGACACCCTCTTGAAGAACTCCTAGATTTCTATCACAACCAAGTGGAACTGGCTCTTCAAACTGAAGTAAGTTTTGGCATAAGGACTTAAAGATTGTTTCTGTTTTCTCTGAATTAGATTTAATGTTTTAAAACGATATTCTTGGTTTTAGCCACCCACATGGCAGTGGGTAGCAGGTAGTGAGAGCTTTAGAAAAAGAGAAAGAAAGCCCAAAGCATCAGAGTTTAAAAGCATACATAGACTCTAACTAGCATATGAAAGAAAAAGTCAGAAGAGAAGACAAAGCAATAGTTAACACCTTTTTGAGGGGCTGGAGAGATGGCTCAGTGGCTGGGAGCACTGACTGCTCTTCCAGAGGTCCTGAGTTCAATTCCCAGCAACCACATGGTGGCTCACAACCATCCGTTATGAGATCTGGTGCCCTCTTCTGGTGTGCAGATATACATGGAAGCAGAATGTTGTATACATAATAAATAAAATCTTTAATTTCTGAGTCTTGACTTAGAAAAACAGTCAGACCCAGATTAACCAGACTCATGGGAACTGTCTGGTGTACAGTTCCCATAAGTGTACAGTTCTTAAACAAAAGTGTACAGTTCTATAATAGTGTGTAAATGTGAAATGAAATGAAGTTGAAGGAGTTACCATCCATAACTCCAGTCTCAGGATACTTCACACCTTTTTCTGGCCTTCTTGGGTACTAGGTATGCAAGTGGTACACAGACATGCATGCAGGCAAAATACCCATATACATAAAATTTTCTGAAAAGGTAAGGATATAGTGTTAGAAATGGCTAGACATATGTTACTGCCTTATAGTTCATATTAAGGAGTTTCACTTTATTCTGAGATTAGTTTACTTTCTGACTTTTTAAATTAGTTTTTTTTTTTTTAGCCCACTGAACCTATTTGTTCATAGTGTTTAATGTCAGTTTCATTTTATATTACAATATTAGAGTTGATTAGTTATAATGTAGACTTTATTTCCTGCAAAGCTTAAACCATTTTAAAATTTTAAAACATTATTTATTTATTTTATGTCTGTGAGAGTTTTGTTTACATGTATGTGTACCATGTGTACACCTAGTGCCCTCAAAAGTCAAAAGAAGATATCAGACCCCCTGGAACTGGAGTTACAGACAGTTGTGAGACACCATGTGGATGCTGGGAATTAAACCCAGCTACTCTATAAGAGTAGTGAACAAGTGATCTTAACCACAGAGCCATCTCTCTATCCCCTTATTATTTGATTCTTTATAGAAAAATTTGGCTGATCTTTTACAGAATAGCTGGATCTAGTCACTTAAGGTGTTTTTAGCCAAACTCAGGGTGGGGTAATTGTTTAGCCCTGTCTTCTGAAGTTAACTTGAACATAATGTAGAGGTTAGGCTTAAAGGTGACAAAATTGGTTTCAGAGAGAAGGATTTTTGTAACAATTCAGGTAAAAGATAAACATTATAACTGTTACAGAGAGAACTGATTAACAATACTTGGAGGCAAAATTGCTAAGAGTTAGCAGGTTGTGAGAGATGGGACTGTAAAATGAACAGATTGCTGATTACTAGTGCATTTTGGGCATACAAGTATCACAGCACACTATGAGAACAACTTGCAGGAGTTGGTTCTCTTATACATACATGTGGGTTCCTGAGATTATACAGAAGTCATATGTCAGGATTGGCGGTGAGTTCCTTTACCCACTGACCCTTCTTGCCAGTCCTACTACTAGTACATTCTTATCAACATATAAAAATACTGAATATCACATCCTGAGACAGTATTGGTACACTGAACCCTCTGAAACAGTGAGCCCAAATAATTACCTCTCTCTTTTTTTTTTTATTCTATTTATTGAATAGATAACATTCTGCTTCCATGTATATCTGCACACCAGAAGAGGGCCCCAGATCTCATTACCGATGGTTGTTAGACACCATGTGGTTGCTGGGAATTGAACTCAGGACCTCTGGAAGAGCAGTCAGTGCTCTTAACCTCTGAGGCATCTCTCCAGCCCCAATAATTACCTCTTTTAAGGTGTTTCTTAAGGTATTTAGTCATAGTGACAAGGAAAGTAACTAATTTGGGTGTCTGAGATAGCTTTAACTATCCAAAAGAGACATTGAGTGAGTAGTTGATATGAACCTGGAATTTAGCATACGAGGTCCAAGTAGAGATAATACACTTGGGAATCATTAGAGTATAAATGGTATCTTACAGTTATAAGACTAGTTGAGTTACCCCCCCAAAAAAAAAAAAAAAATTCATTGCAGGAGGAGAAGAGTTATCTTAGCAGGTAAATGACTGCTCTTCCAGAGGACCTACCTGGGTTCTATTCACAGCACCCACATGGCAGCTCAGATTCAACTCTAACTCCAATTCTAAGGGATCTGATGGCCTCTTCTGGCATTCTTGGGTACCAGGCACACATGTTGTACTCATACATACATACATACATACAATGTTGAGAGCTACCATGTTGGTGCTAAGAGTCTGTTCTCATGTTGTACTTTAATGTCTGATCATCTCTTAATGTCTGATCATCTCTCTAGTCCTTTAAATAATTTTTACACATCCGTGTGTACATATACACAAAAGAAAGGGCCTATGTAGACATGCCTGTGTGGAGGTTAGAAGACCCCTTGGGGAGTTAGTTCTCTCCTTCCACCATATGGCCATATGGGTCCTGGGGATTGAATTCAGATTATCAGGCTTGACAGAAAGTGCTTTTACTCAATGGCCCAAGACTATACTTCAAGAGAAGTTTTGGGTTCACAGCAAAATGAGATATTCCATTATACCCTCTGGTACTACGCTACTTTGCAACTCTGTTCTCCTATTTGCTTAGGCTAAAATCTTATTGTTATCCTTGACCTTTCAAGAAAAAGATCTTTCATATCCCATATTAAACCTAATTCTTAACTCTCTGCCTTGAAAACACATGGAGAATGTGACCATTATCATTCCTAAGTCAATTGTGTTGTTCTTTACTGGTCTTCCAAATTATTTGCTTTTCCTTCTGCAATCCTCCCCTGCCCCCCCCCCAGGGAACCAAAATGATAGTTTAAAAATAATTCACAAAATGTAGTGATGTGTCCTGAGTGTTATATCCTAGAAGAGAGTAGGAAAACACTGGTATGGCTGAGTAAGTCTAGAGTTTACTTGATTGTATGCCACTGCTCTAGTCTTCATTTTGACAAATGTATCATGGTTATGCAAGCCACTGCCTAACTGGTTTATATGGGAACCCTGTACTATTTTTATAACTTCCTATAATTCTAAAATTATTCCAAATGAAAAGTTTACTTTAAAAGTGAAAATAGAAACAGAAAACCCTCATTGATAGCACATGCCTTTAATCCCAGCACTTGGGAGGCAGAGGCAGGAAGATCTCTGGGAGTTCCAGGCCAGCCTGGTCTACCAAGCGAGTTCCAGGACAGACTCCAAAACAATACAGAGAAATCCTGTCTTGAAAAAACCAAAAAAGAAAAAAGAACCAGGTAGATGTGTAAGAGAACACATCTTTAATCCCAGCACTTGTGAGGCAGAGGCAAGCGGATCTCTGAGTTCAAGACCAACCTGGTCTACATAGCAAGTTCCAGAAAAGTGAGGGCTACATAATAGAGAGATCTTGTTTCCAAAAAAAATAAAAAAGACTTTTAGAAAAGATAGTTAAAAATTATGAACTATAAAGCAAAGAGAGCTCCTTTGAAGTTACTGTTTAGCCTGGACTGGCCTTGAACTTGTGAACCTCCCTCCTCAACTTCCTATATTCTAGGACTGTATGTTAGGTTTATAATCTGCCAAGTGTGTTCCCCATCAGGGAGCCTGGGACCTGTACTCTCTAGTGCTCTTCCCTAGGGTATTTGCTTGGCTTTCCCTTCCTTAATGTAAATATGTAGGCGATGTTTCTTTCCCAATCCTTTGTACAGTTTTAAACATACTCTGTTTAGAGATTTTTTCCATCTGACTCTGTCTTTACTGCATACCTGTAATCCTTTTCTGATTGCATGAGCAAAACTCCAAACCCACCATGTATCATGCTTACACTGGTAGCTTCAGCCTGCAGGCAGCATCTAGAAGATGCCTCTTTGTACCACAGCCTTGTGAGAGACTGCAGAAACCCACCACGCAGCTTAACTCATGGTTGGCAGCTGTATCCATCTTGCAGGCAGCAGTTGGGAGCTCATCTCTGCATTGTGGCTGGTGTGAGACTGAGAGACTAGGAAGCTGTGTCTAGCTCTGTTTTTGTGTGTTTAGAATCTTTTTTAAGCAGTTTTTTAGATCTTATGTGAATCTACATCCCACATTGGGCGTCATATGTAGATAGATTTCCCATCCCGACAACTACTTCCAAATAACTACTCTGAGGTTTATACTAACTGTAAATGCTCAGCTAATAGCTCAGGTTACTATAACTAGCTCTTACATTTTAAGTTAACCCAAATTCCTTATTTACCATCTACTATGTGGTGGTACCTTTATTAACATGGATATTCTGCCTGCTTCAATGTCTATTCACTGTGTGCATGCCTGGTGCCTGCAGAGACTGAAAGAGGGTGTTGGATCCCCCTGCGACTGAAGTTACAGACAGTTGTAAACTGCCATGTGGATACCAGGACTTAAACTCAGGCCCTATAGAAAAGCAGTCAATGATCTTAACTGCAGTGTCATCTCTCCAGCCCATAAAGAAGATTCTAAGGCAAGAATTGACATATGGTAGCTCTATACCAAATCCAGCCTGCTGCCTGGTTTTATAAAGTTTTTGTCTCTTATTTATTGTCTTTACCCTTAAAAGGGTAAAATTGAATCTCACCAGAGGATTACTCACAAAATATAAAATATTTACTTAGCTAATGTTTTATTTGTTTTGTGTTTGGTTTGGTTTTGAGATAATCTCAATATTGCCACCTCAGACTTTCAAATCACTGTAATTATAGCTGTTGTCTTAGTTAGGGATTTTATTGCTATAAAGAGACTCCATGTCCACAACAACTCTTATAAAATAAAACATTTAATTGTGGTGGCTCACTTACAGTTTTAGAGGTTCAGTCCATTAACATCATTGCAGGAAGTATAATGGTGTGCAGGCAGACATGGTGCTAGAAAAATAGCTGAGAGTCCTACCTCTGCAGGCAACAGGAAGTTGACTGACAGTTACACTGAAGGAAACTTGAGCAAAAGAGATGTCAAAGCCCACACCCACAGTGACATACTTCCTCCAACAAGGCCACACCTCATAATAGTGCCACTCCCTTTGGGGACTTTTTTTTTTTCTCAAGCCACCACAGATGTGTATCACCATACCTAACAATTAGTGACTTTGGGGGAGGCGGTAGTAAGGACAGGGTTTTCCTGTCCTTGCTTTATAGCTCTGGATGATCTGGAACTCACTGTGTAGACTAGGCTGACCTCAAGACTTTTTGACTCTTACCTTTGCTTCCCAAGTGCTGGCATTACAGATAGGTGCCACCACACCTAGATACTTAATTTTTTTAAAGTTTGCTCATCTTTACTTATGATGGGTTCAGAAGTTACAGATGTAAAAAAGCAATTGCCATGACTAGGCTGTAGGGAAATGAACAGTTTTGGGACATATAAAAACTTCTCCAGGCTGAACTTTAGCCTCTTTGAAGAGCATATGGATACCACAGGAAGATAGATGCTGCCCATGGCAAACAAACTTCCCAAAGAACTTCAGCCAGAGCTGCCAGATAAAAAGAACATGGTCTGAGGATATAGGTATTGCTGGTCTTTGAGAACCACTGAACTCTCATAGTGAATTGAAAAGAAAGAATAAATACATACAGGACTACAACCCCCCAGGGAAGTATATTCCTGTTGCTTTTGGGTTAAAGTGTCCTTTTAGTGCCCTCTAGTGACAAAAAATGTTAGTGTGAGTTTAGTTCTGGCTCTACAAAGCAGAGCAAAGGATGGGTGGGTTTAGAACTGTTAGACTACACACTGGTCCATCAAATGTTAAGAACAATGGAGAATAGTGTAAGACAGTGTCATAAACCTTCAGATTGGAAAGGGTTTTACATGAAGGTGAGTTAAAAGAAGCAGAAATATAAATTAGATCACTAAAAAGGGAGAACTTGAAAGCTGATCTTCAATTCATACCCTGAGAACTGAACAGTAATTGGGTATTTAAGAAAATGAGATGGTTTCACTTATGCTTAAAGGTGAAATGAGCATTTGGCTTATGGTAACCAAGCCTCAAGAATAGAAAACAAAACACTAAAAAGGAAGATGCAGTGCTTAATTGAAGCCTTTCATAGTACTTGGCATAAAAGTGTATCATGAATGTTTCATGAATCTTTAAGCCACGTGTAGTGCACAGTAACAGTAACTCAGGAGGAGGAGGGATGATCCCTTGAGTTTATGAATTTGAGACCAGTATAGGCACTATAGTGAGTTTCTGTAAGAGAAGGAAGGTTTTTTTGTTTTGTTTTTGGTTGGTTAGATGGTTTTATGAGATAGAGTTTCTCTGTGTAACTTTGGAGCCTGTCCTGGCACTCACTCTGTAGACCAGGCTGGCCTTGAACTCACAGAGATCTGCCTGCCTCTGCCTCCCTAGTGCTGGGAGTAAAGGCATGCAACACCATCACTCGGCTAGAATTTAGTTTTTAATGGCAGTTTTTTTTTTGTTTTTGTTGTTTTGGTTTGGTTTTCTATTTTGCAGAAAAGAAGGTTATTTTCAACGTGAAAATTACTTCCAAGTGAAAATTTAAAAGATAAATCTAGGTGTGCTTATTTTTTAGATTTATTTTGTTTTAAATGTATGAGTGTTTTGCCTGTATGTATGTATATATACCACATGTGTACCAGATGTTGTTTTAAAAAGTGATTTAGTAATCTGTTTCTAATTTGTTTTCTTTTTATTCTGATATGAAATTAGTAGCATTTGCATATGATTAGTTAGTGTCAAAGTAAAAAAAAAAAAAACACTATGCCTTCCTTTAGTACATTTCACGTATACCACATAATTGAGAAGCTATTTCTTTTCTTTTATAATAGTGAATTGTCAAAATTATCCAGCTCTGACTTCATCTTTGACATAGGTACTACATTGAACCTAGTTATTTTTATTTTGCTTTTCATTTTTAAAGAACCAGCACCGAGCTATTGATCAAGTAATTAAAGCTGTAAGAAAAATCTGTAGTGCTTTAGATGGGGTGGAGACTCCCGCCGTTACAGAATCGGTGAAGAAGCTAAAGCGAGCAGTTAACCTTCCAAGGAACAAAAGTGCTGATGTGAGTATTTGTATGGATTTATGAGACTACCTATCACTTCAACAGGAGGATGTTCACCTCTTGGTATTTTAACTTTGGTTTTACTTTTTAGTTTATTGAATTGTTTCTTTGGTGAGGTAGGGATTCTTTGCTAAAATGATGGAAGAACTTTGTGAACATTAACATTAAATAGTGGATTCAAATTGCCTTCCTTACAGGTAAGACCCCTGGCAATTTAGGGAGCTTACAGAGTAGTAGCTGCCAGTCCTCTCTTAATGGAAATGTCCATGTTCATTATACTTAAATCTCACCCCTGCCCCTGTGGAAGTGGCCTTGCCTTAGAAGCAGCCAGATTTTGAGCCTTCTGTTATGCCATATGTCAGCTTTTAATAAAACTATGACCCATGATACTTCCTTCCATGGATCCTTAATAAATTCAGTCCATAGAAATGTTTATGTATCTCTGGGCAGTGGTGGTGCAAGCCTTTAGTCCCAGCACTCGGGAAGCAGAGGCAGGTGTATCTCTGTGAGTTTGAGGCCAGACTGGATTACAGAGCTAGTTCTAGGACAGCTAGGGCTGTTACACAGAGAAACCCTATCGTGAAAAAACAAACAAACAAACAAACAAACAAACAAAATGTTTATGTCTTTGGTTGGAAGGAATAAAGAAAAAGAATCTTAAGCTACTTTAAAGGAGAAGCTATGTCTTTGGCCTGCTCCTCCATATCTAGGTGCTCACAAGTCTACTCATTTTCAAAGAAATTGTAGCTACATGGCATGATACTTAGAGAGAGATTTAGGTTTCCTTTTTGTTTTTTGTTTATTTTGTTGGTGGTGGTTGGTTGGGGTTTTATTGAGGGGGGTTCCTATTTAAAAATTACTTGGAAACTATCAATCACCATAGACCCTAGTGCCTGAAGTGGCTGTTCTTTTTATTCCTTTACTCCTTTATCAGGCAAAGGAACACTAAAAAGTGTAGTTGAGAGAAGAGTTTACCTTAAATAATTATATATAAGAATTTCCTTCAATCACCAAATAGTAATAGAGTTTAGATACTTTTCTTTAGGTACATTACCCTCATGCCGATGAAAAATGGTGTACTGTGTTACAAAATAATTACTTATTCATTTAAAGTAAAAGGGCTGATTTTGGGCTGGGTGTTGGTGGTGCACGCATTTAATCCCAGCACTCAGGAGACAGAGGCAGGCCGATCTCTGAGTTCCAGGACAGCCTCCAAAACAATAGAGAGAAACCCTGTCTCAAAAACCAAAAAAAAAAGGGGGGGGGCTGATTTTGTTATTTTCCCATAGTTAAGTTTTAGGTGCTCTGATTTGTTTGACTTAAGACAGGCTCTCATATTTTCCGACTTACTATAATTTAGCCAAGGAAGTTCTGAAACTCCTGTCCTGCTTTTATTCACAGGTGCTGAGATTGTAGGCGTGAACTACCATACCTGGCGTTTTGTTTCTTTCTAATTTTGAATCAAGGTGTCACTTTGGCCAAGCTGGCCTTGAACTTGCTATATTCCTCTTTCCTCAGCTTCCCAGATGCTGTAACTATAGGCATGAACTCCCAGTCCAACTTGCCTCAATTTTCTTATTAAAAATCATTTGTCAGGCATAGTGGCACACACTTTTAATCCTAGGGCTTGAGAGGCAGAGGCAAGCAGATCTCTGTGTTCTAGGTTCGACAGAGCTACATAGTGAATACCTGTCTCAAAAAAAATTATGTTTACTTAGGTTTATGTTTTCTCTTCTTGTTTGTTAATTTGCATTTGTGTATGTTTATGTGGGTGCAGATATTCACATGAGTGTATGCATTTTGAGATGGGGTCTTCTGCAGAACCGAAAGCTTATCAGCTTAGCTAAATTAACTGGCCAGTGAGCTCCAGGGTCCACCTTCTGCCCCATACCCTCTCACTCCCCTGACGTGGCATGATAGACTGGGTGCAGGGAATTCTAACTCAGGCTTTTTGGGCAATTATTTTATGGATTGAGGCATTTTCATAACCCTTTATTTCTTTGCTCACTGTCTTAGTAATTTTTCAGACATGTTTGGCAGATTTCTTTATAGAAGGGTTTCTTTGACTTTTAAAGAACTATATCCAAAGTAAAGTTTATTTAAAACAAAAGCAAAGGCCCCGTGTGGTGATACATTTCTGTTGTCCCATCATTTTGGATGTAAATCAGGAGTTTAGCAAGTTTGAGATCAATGTGGGCTACACAAGACCCTGTCTCAAAAAACAAAGAAAAAGTAAACATTTTATATTACATTATGGTCAATGTATGACTAACTGATAATATGTATGTACAGGTGACTTCATTACCTGGAGGAGATACTAACAGGAACTCAACTGCGGGTATGTTTTTAGATTCTTTACATTTTGCCAATGGTTTTTGCTTTTTCAGAGAATTAACACTTTGTTTCAATGTAGGCTCACTGAATCCTGAAAATCCTGTTCAAGTAAGCATGGATCACTTAACGGCAGCAATTTATGATCTTCTCAGGCTCCATGCAAATTGTAGTAAGAATTCTACAGACTGTCCTCAAAGTAGCAGGAATATCAAGGAAGCATGGACTGCGGCAGAGCAGCTCCAGTTCACTGTCTATGCTGCACATGGAATTTCCAGTAACTGGGTATCAAAGTAAGTAGATGGTTAAAGGACATGCACAGCTGTGCCCAGAAGCTACACTAATCTTAGTGTAATACCTACTTTCATTTTCTTTGTTTAAATGGATTATAGAAAGGTCACTGAGTACCCTTGTACCTTAGTGACTTTAATAAAATTATAGAGATACCTGAAGTTACTGTAGTGAAAAAAACATTTCTATGACATGAAAAAAGAGCAAGAGCCAGGTGTGTTGGTGTCCCCAGGAGGCAGAGGCAGTCAGATCTTAGAGTTCAAGGCTAACTTGGCCTACATAGCTAGTTCCAAGACAGCCAGGGCTACACAGGGAAAGCCTATCTCAAAAACCATATACATACATATGTACGTACGTACGTAAGTACATACATACATACATACATACATACATACATACATACATGTATACATACATACATATTGAAACTGACAAGCAAAAATGTTACTTAAAAAATGAATTAATTTAAGATTGCTCGGCCTTTCTGCTTTCCCTTTAGAATCAAGGTAATTCAAAAAGGAATGTAATGGGACTAGAATTCTGGCCCCGTCTCCCTTTAATAGCTCACAGTCTGCTAATTGCTAATCTTTGAATTCTACAAGAGCATGTTTATTCTACTGAAATTTTGATAAGGGTTTTCCTCTTTTGATTTTGTTTTCTTTTATCAATATCTTTAAAGCATAGCATTTTGGGGGCCAATTTTAATTTATTTTCTAATAATATAAACTGAAAAGTCTAAAATGAGTATTTTTATTGAAATAGGTTTATAATGAATGGCTTACTGCTATAAAGTCTAGTGAAGTTACCAAACTAAAATCCCACTTGAATAAAGCTTCAGATTAAAATAATGGTGTGACTTGAAAGTGGTTTGGGGTTTTATTTATTTATTTATTTTGGGTTTTTCGAGACAGGGTTTCTCTGTGTAGCTTTGGAGCCTATTTGGCACTTGCTCTGGAGACCGGGCTGGCCTGGACCTCATAGAGACCCCCCTGCCTCTGCCTCCTGAGTGCTGGGATTAAAGGCGTGTGCCACCACCTCCTGGCTATTTTGGGTTTTTTTTTGTTTGGTTGGTTGGTTTTGGTTTTTTTGAAGCAGGGTCTCTTTGTGTAGTCCTGGCTGTTCTGGAATTTACTATGTTAACCAGGCTGGCCTCAAACTCACAAAGACCTGCTTGCCTCTGCCTCCCAGGTGCTGGAATTAAAGGCATGCATCACCATGCCCCCTGAAAGTGTTTTTCTAAGTCTTGAAATAAGTGGTTACTGATCCCCATCTATACGAAGAGTTCTCATTATTGGAAGTCTGGTAATAAACAAGAACAATGCCTTTCTGGACTTCCTTTTAAATGGCTAATAGTGCCTTTTTCTTTTTGTTTATCTTGCTATTGAGATGATGTCTCACTATGTTGTTCAGGCTGGTCTTACCTTCAGAGACTGAGGGATCCTTCCACTGCAGCCTCTTAGGTAATAGGTATGTGTCAAAATGCCCAGCTGAAAACATGGCAAACAACTTGTGTGGAATTTTTTTTTGGTTTGTGTTTTCTTTTGTTCTGGGAATTCCATATGGGAGGACCCACATAGTAGGAAAGAACCACCTCCCACAAGTTATCCTTTGACCTCCTTATATCTAAATAAATGTAATGAAATTTTCTTTGTTTTGTTTTGTTTTTAGTTTTTTTGTTTGTTGGTTGGTTTTTCGGCACAGGGTTTCTCTGTGTAGCCCTAGCTGGCTGTTATCTCACAGAGATCACCTACTCCAGCATCCCTAGTGCTCAGATTAAAGGCATGTGCTGAAAAACAATTAGGGTATAGATATAACTGGGCATGACATGCATTCGTTTAGTTCTCGTACTTGTGAGGTGGAGACAGAAAAATGAGAAATCTCAAAGAACAGCAATCACCCTACCTACTCACACCCCAAAGAAGCTATGTATACGAATAGAATGATTAACATGTAAACCTAGAAGTAAATTAGAATATAAATAGAATAGTTTCATTGAGTCCAAGTCTCTCAGAAGATTGTCTTATTGTATCTTTATGTGCGGCAATTTGGAACTAAATCATTGCTGTCTAGTGAAAGAATACAGCAATACCTGTGAAGATCACTGAATTGTTGGGTTTGTGTACCATTAATGTGCTTAGCTGAGTATTTCAGTGATGTAGCAAAGGAAAGTAGCATCTCTACCACTGCCAAGAAAGAGAGCAAAAGAAACTAAACAAACCCTAACAAAAAGCAGGAATGTAATGGAAGTAGCACCAAGGGAAGATAATGTTGGTACTTTATTCCTGGGTTTTACCTAGAAATGGATAAACACATAGTCTCTTGTCATTCACCTGTGCTCTGAAGCTAGTAATTAACTGAGCACAATACCTGAAACAACTTATATTGCATGAGTGTCATAACAGTTCCCCTGAGACGGACACGTAGGTACATATGCTCCCTCTCTACTCCTTTTGTTACACCACTTCTCTTTTTCTGTAAAATTTGCAAAGGTTAAATTTCAGGTAGATTTCAAAAACTAAGATGAATGGTGACCAGTTTATTACAGTTTGTTACTTGTGGGAAAACTGCTAATGTACCTGTGTTAGTTAGATAACTATTACTAACCTAAAATCAAATTAAGCTTTCTTTTCTTAGTTATGAAAAATACTACTTGATATGTTCCCTGTCTCACAATGGGAAGGACCTTTTTAAACCTATTCAATCAAAGAAGGTTGGCACGTACAAGAATTTCTTCTATCTTATTAAATGGGATGAACTGTAAGTGGAGTTTTTTGCTTTTATAATTACTTTACTATGCCCTGTTCTTTAATTTTTCCAATGTATGCATTATTTTTATTATCATCTCCATTGAAATCCAGTAAATTCTTACATGTTAAAATATCTTCTATGCAAAATTTTATAAAACAAACTGAAATTAACATGAAAAATTCTCAAGTATTCCGTTAAACGTTTATATTTTAAAATTTCAATAACATGGTATTAATTCTTTCTAGACTTTGTCATGCCAAAGATAGAAATTTACTCAGAACTCTAGAAATAGTGTTTAATAAACTGCTTATTTAAGTGTTTTACTATATAATTTAATAGCAGTGTACAAGAATCTAGCTCTTGGTTAATAGACAACCAAGCTAAATCTTTAATCTGTATACATGATGATATATTCTGTATTGTTAATGCTTTTTAAATGCCTTTTTTTTTTTTTAACAGAAAGAACTCATACTTATTTGGGTAAATAGCTAGCTGTGGAACTAAGATCTAATTTTATTTTGCCTGATTATCAAACTACCTATCTTTAGGTACTTAGACATTTTTACAGAAAGAACTGTTACATTTTTGAAGTTTTATGCTAATAATGAAATTTAAGACTTAATAGTACATTAGCCATATTTGCTAACTTAGCTAAAAGTGACTTGCTTTATAAATGAAATAAAACACCTAAAATTAATCAGTCTTCATTAAATGATTACTAAGCCTCACTTTTAATCTAAGTTTTTTTTTTTCTTAACACCAGTGAATATTTTTTTTCTGCCCCATAGAATCATTTTTCCTATCCAGATATCACAGTTGCCATTAGAGTCAATTCTTCATCTTACTCTGTTTGGAATCTTAAACCAGAGCAGTGGAACTTCACCTGATTCTAATAAACAGAGAAAGGGACCAGAAGCTTTGGGCAAAGTTTCTTTAACTCTTTTTGACTTTAAACGGTGAGTATTACTGAATTGTGATAGTGAGTATTCAGACACATCTCTGCATTACAAGCAGGCTAGAGCCAGGATGGAAACAGTGACACACATGAGCTTTGAGCTGAGCAGAGCAGTCACTTTGCTGTAGTCTCAGTGTAATCTGGTAGGTATGCAGAGAATTGCTTGCCACTCATTGTTCCAGGGGAAAAACAGTAGCCAATGACTGTCATTCTTGTAAAGTATATTATGACAGAATGCCATGGCTCTATCAGTTTTTCTTCATACTAAAAGAACTCTGTTTTTCATATTTCCTGTCTTTCTCCAGTTTTAGAGATGTGACAGGAATTTACTATTCCTACTCACTAACCAGTACTTAGTGTTATGGGCCCTTTTCCTAAAGGGTTTTCATCTGTGGACAGATGAAAATAGTAATAGTGGACAGAAAAATAGTAATCTATTTGTGCTTGTGGAGGCCCAAGTGCAGCCACAATTGCCTTCTTCCAGAATACCATCCACCTTATTTCTGAGGCACAGGGTCTCTCATTACCTGGGTCTTGTCAATTGGGCTAACCTGGTTGGCCAGTGAGCTCCAGAAACCTACCTATGTCTTCTTCCCTCAGCACTGGCATTGAAAGTATACCTAGCTTCTTAATATGAGTTCTGGAGATGAAACTCAGGTGCCCATGCTTATAAGGCAATCACTTACCAAAAGAACCATCTCCCCAACCTTGAAATTGATTTCTAAAAAATATAAAACAGTTTATAAATGGAATAATGTACTGATAATTTGGAATTTATCCCCTGGAACTAGAGTCACAAAAGGTTGTGAATTGCCCAGCATGGGTCCTGGAAATCAAACTCAGGTCCTCTGGAAGAGCAGCAAGTGCTCTTAACCACTGCATCTCTCCAGCCTTTGTACATTCATACACAAAACGTTTTAAAGATTAATCTTGGAAAAAAAGGAAAATTTAACTGTATAATGATTCATCAAAGTCTGCAAATGTTTAAATAGACCATAAATTGGTAGTTGTGGGTGAGGATCAACATATGTAAGCCCCACTGTCTTTTTTTTTTTTCCACATTTATTTGTTGTGTGTGTGTGTGTGTGGAGGTAAGAGGACAGTTTGCAGCAGTCAGTTCTCTCCTTCCACCATGAGGGTCTTTGGAATTGACTGTAGGTTGTCAGGTGTCTGAACAACAGACTTACATGCTAAGACACTCACCAATCCCCACTGCCTTTTCGTATCAATATATTTTGTTACAATATATCATACAGCATACTCACTTGCCTATTGTTCATAGCCACTTTGTATTACTACAGCCAAATGGAGACTTTGTAACAGAGACTGCTAATGCTGAGGTTATGAGCATGTGCTACCATGTCCAGCCTTTTAAAATTTATTTATTCATTTACTTTTAGGTATGTCTATTTTATGCATATGAATGTTTTTCCTGTATGTGTGTCTGTGTACCATGTACATGCATGTGACTACAGAGATAAGAATAGAGTATTGGATTCCCTGGAACTAAAGTTACAGGCAGTTTTGTGTCACTGCATGGATGCTGGAAATTAAACTTGGGTACTCTGCAAGAGCAACAAGTACTCTAAGCCACTGAGCCAACTCTCTAGCCCTTAATTTTTATTTTAAATTTGTTTTTTAGGCAGTAAGTCACTCCATAGGCCAGGCTTATGGTTCTCCTGCCCCAGCCTCTGGGATACTGAGATTACAAACACATGCTGGCTCCTAAATATTTATTGTCTAGTCTTTTTAGAGAAAAAAAATTTACTGAGGAGTAGTCAAATATAACTTACCTCGAATAATTTGTGCTTCAGTGCAAAGCAGATACTGATTTTCTTGGCATGTAGTTTTTATTCTAATGGTAAAAATCAGGATGTAGTTCTGTAATCCAAACCATGACCTTGAAGCCATGGTCTCTCAAGAAAACTGAAAGACAATTTTATTTTTGCCATTATTAAATGTTCCCATGTATTTTATATACCGAACACAGTCTCCCCGCCTTCCTTTCCTCACACTTGCCCCCCACTAATGTTTTACCTAACTTCTCAGTACAATATGGCAGTTGACTCCTCCTAGTATGTTCTTAAAGACTATACTGTTTTTACTAATATTTCAGATTGAATACCATGATGTATTGTGAGTTTGGGATTTTTTAAATGAAAATCACAGTGTTCTTTTTATGTTCATGAAGGTTTTTAACATGTGGAACGAAACTTCTCTACCTTTGGACTTCATCACATACAAATTCTATTCCTGGAGCAATCCCCAAAAAAGGCTATGTCATGGAAAGAATTGTGCTACAGGTAACAGTAATTCGTGACACATACAGGGCCTTAAAATGTGAATGTCTTTGTAAAAAGTGTTTATGTATTCCATGACTTAGATTGTTATTAAAGAAGCCTAATTAATCTTGTTTTAATCTCAGAATCTGTCTTCAATTTAAGTGTTATAAAAACCATGTGTGCTATAGCTGGTGTGGGGCAGATCAAAAGATCTTTTCTTTTTTCTGAGTAATTTTATTGATTTCACTTACTCAGTGACTAATACTCTTTTTTTCTTCCTGTTTATATTCATCATTTTAAAATTTATTTTACATACCAACCATGGTTTCCCCTCCCTCTTCTCCTTCTGTTCCCTCCCCCATCTTCTACCTCAAGATCTTAATCTTCAGATCTAAGGTTTTATCACTAATCGATCTTTGCTGGAATAATCATGATTAGATGACCTTAATTTAGTTTATCTGTGCACAAATGAAGTAAAATAGGATTTTTGTCATTGTTGTTTTGCTTTTGAGACAAGGTTTCCCTGTGTAGCTTTGGAGCCTGTCCTGGAACTCGAGTTATAGACCAGGCTGGCCTTGAACTCACAGAAGTTTGCCTGCCTCTGCATCAAATAGTATTTAACAAGATTTCTTATGCCCTTTCAAAATTAAAATGCTATGAATTGAATTGTTTTCTAATTTGTCAGCTTTTAATGTCTATGATTATGTATGTTAATAATGTACTTCCTAGTAATTAATTTGCATTTCTATTCTCAATTTTTGCTCCAAATAATAATCTAGGTTAAAATGTCAAATAAAGTGATATTAAATAATCTACTTGTATTTCAAAGCAAATGTCATATAAGAAGTACATCAGATAATATAATTATAAATTGTTTTTGTGGATAATATAAACTAATTTTAAAAATAATAATATCTTTCATAAAATTACATTAAAATCTATAACTGAAACTCACCCTGGTAGTGAGGACAAGGGAGAGCTGGTGAGCTGACCAGCCCTGCAACTACCTAGGCCCTGAGTCAGGGTTATGAGTTGGCCCACCCCAACATCCACCCCATCTATGATCTCCTGGAGCACATGAAGGGGCTGGTCCTGCAAATCCAGCACTGCAGGATCTCCACGACACATGGCAACACCAGAATATCCAAGAGGAGTCCCAGGGAAGGCAAGGCATCAATAGTGGAGCAGAAACCAGAGGCCTAGAACCAGACCAATGAACACTTGCAATTAAAGATATATGGGTTTACTGCATGACTCACTGTATCACACTACAGCTTCCATGACCATATTGATTTTTTTCTTTCTCTTTTTTTTGGGGGGGCGGTTGCAAGGGCAAAGGGCGGATACAAAAGGATGGAGAAATGAATGGGATCAAGAGGCATGATATGAAAGACACAGAGAATAAAAAGAATGTTAAAAAAAAAAAATCCAGTTTCTGAGAGAGTAAAACATCCCCTGTATCTATCCCAAGAATTATATACATGCTTTTGAGGGTGACCAGCTGTTGGTAAAAGAAGAAAAAAAAAGAAGCACCAACTTTATACTTAATATAAACTTATCCAGGTTTTTATAAAAATTCAATTTCCTGAAAGACAAAGATGCTAATATGGAAAGTGGATTGTAATTTGAGCAATTTCACTGGGTAATGGTAGTGCATGCCTTTCATTGCAGCATTCGGGAGGCAGAGGCAGGCAGTCCTCTGAGTTTGAGGCTAGCCTGGTCTGCAGAGCAAGTTTCAGAACAACCAGGGTATACAAAGAAACCCTGTCTTGGAAGAAAGAAAAGTAAAAATAAATAAATAAATAAATAAATAAATAAATAAATAGCAAAACACTCACACACAAAAGTTCAATAATTTCTGTTAATTTTTTCAGATTGACTTTCCTTCTCCTGCATTTGACATTGTTTATACATCTCCTCAAATTGATAGAAACATTCAGCAATACAAGTTGGAAACACTGGAGAACGATATAAAGGGAAAACTTCTGGATATTCTTCACAGAGACTCATCATTTGGGTATACTTTATTATTTTCTTGGGAATCTCCTGTGGTGTAAAGCTCAGGTTAAGGGCTTATATTACAGCCCATGATTTCAAAGTGTTCTTGATATGAAGGAGGCTGTATGGGGGCTCTCAGCACTGCCAATGAAAGACTGGCTACATTCAAATCAGGCAATTATATAATCTGTTGTTTAAATGAGTGTGTGTCCATTCAGAGAGAGATCAATAGGGGGCTCTTCATCTCTGTCTCTTTTACTCTCTGTCTCTTTTTCCTTTTTTTTTTTTTTTTTTTTTGAGACAGACTGTTACTGAACCTGGAGCTTGCCAATTGACTACCCTGGCTAGCCAGGGAGCCTTAGGGGTCCTCCCATCTCTTCATTCCCAATATGCATTCTGCCATACCAAAGTTTTATGTTAGTACTAGGGATCCAATCTCAGGTTCTAATGTTTGCACAGCAGGCACATTATCCACTGAACCATTTACCAAGACCATTTTTACTGTATGTGCATATAGAGTACAGAAGTCAACATTAAGTATCTTCCTTCATCACTTCCCACCTTATTTTTTGAGACTGGGTCTCTGACTGAATCTGGACCTTGCTAGTAAGTTGAATAGACTGGCTGGCCATCAGGTCCCAAGAATCAGCTTGTCTCCACTTCCAACAGCTAGCTGTTTTTAAAATAAAACACATCATTGCTGGGAATTGAATCCATGTCCTTATGCTTGCATAACAAACACTTTCCCAACTGAGCTATTTTCCAGTCCTTCTTATATTATTAAAGCAAATAGTTTGAGAGATAGATTTATAATAGGTACCAGTTGATTAATTTGCTTAACCTATAAAGAAATTTTTCATAGGCCAGCAAGGTGATGCAGCAGATAAAAGTGCTTGTCAGTAAAGCCTGGTCACCTAAGTTTAATCTTATAAAGGTGAAAGGAAAGCACAGACCCCAAAAGTTGTCATCTGACTGCCACACATGCTCCATGCTCCATGGCATGCATACCCGAGCACACATTGTGTACACACACACACACACACACACACACACACACAAAGCACATGCACACACACATAACACCAATAAAGAGTTTTCTATGTCAATAAATAAGTAGTAACTGAAATATGATGAACAGCAGGAAATTCTTTGGGAAAGAACTTTAATGCCTCTCAAACCTCTTATAAGGCAAGTCCTTAGTAAAAATTAGATATAAATTAATACAATGTGGTATCTTATATCCAAGTGGCAAAAATTTAAAATCATCATCCTGTGAAGCTAGACTGAAAATACATTTTACACACAGAGACAGAATTCTTTTATGAGGCCATATCCCTTTTGGAAAGCATTTTGACAAAATCTATAGCCTGCAAATCATCAGTGCTGCTTCCTAGCATAAAGTAGAGAAAACCTTCCTCTATTTCCTTATGAAAACAAGAATGTTCTTTGTGATGGTTAATGTCCACTGGTAGAAATTAAATTAGTGATGGGTGTTGGTGGCTCACACCTTTAATCCCAGCACTCGGGAGGCCAAGGCAGGCTGATCTCTGTGATTTCAAGGCCAGCCTGGTCTACAGTGCAAGTGCCAGGATAGGCTTCAAAGCTACACAAAGAAACCCTGTCTCAGAAAAACGGGGGGAAAAAAAAAGAGAGGGGGGGGAATTTAAACAACAAAAGACTCTTTAGAAAGAAAGAAAGGAAATTAAATGAGCTAGTTAACAGTGGTGACTACAAGGAGAATATAGCTGTATATACTAGTACATGATATACTGGATGGAGAAACCAAGCAGCAGATTAGGATAGTGTTACCATCAACACAAAGGAAATAAAATCTAAAACACCATGTGGATACGTCTGTATGACCAGACCATCTCTGGCAGCATGGCAGATGTTTGTAGAATTAGGAAAACTTCTGTCTTAATTAGGGCTACTGTTACTGTAATAACACCATAACCCATGCAACTTGGAAAGTATTTATTTGGCTTATGCTTTCATATCATTATTCATCTCTAAAGGAAGTCAGGACAGGAATTCAAACAGGACAGAAGCTAATGCAGAGGCCATGGGAGGGTGCTGCTTATTGGCTTGTTTTCCATGACTTGCTCAGCCTGCTTTCTTACAGAATTAGGATGACCAGATCAGGGGTGGCCCTACCCACAATGGGCAGGGCCCTCCTTCATCAATCACTACTTAAGAAGAGGCTTTATGGGCTTGTTAACTATAGCCTGTGTCAAATTAAACTAGCCAGTACATCTTCATTAGGAACTTTTCGTCAAATTTGTGGTTTTTTATGCTACACATGAAATGAATACATTTTACAAGTGTGCTATATGCACAAAGATGAGTGGGTGAGCCAGACATGCTGTTGCATACCTGTAATCCCAACATAGGCAATGGAGGCAGGAGGAACAGTAGTTTGGAGCCATCTTTATTACATCTCAAATTTGAGGCCAGCCTGGTTGATATACTCCCTCAAAAAGAACAAGTAAGCTGGCTGGTGGCACATGCCTTTAATCCCAGCCCTAGGGAAGCAGAGTTGTTGAACTCTGTGAGTTTGAGGACAGCCTGGTCTACAGAGTGAGTTCCAGGACAGCCAGGGTGACACAGTGAAATCCTGTCTCAAAAAAATAAAAACAACAAAATGAATAATAAAAGTGAAATATTTCTGGGCTGGAGAGATGGCTCAGCCTGTTAAGTCTAGACTGACAACCAAAAGAGTGAAATATTTCACGAACATGTCATTGAACTTAGAATTTGTCTCTAAAAATATTTTTTCTACTCTTAATGTTTCTCAATTCAACTGTATAATGTTTCCCAAAGATTCATGGCAGCATTTGTTTTCTTCATAGCACTTGATTTTACTTTTGTGGATGGAATCCTTGCTGTCTTATAGGGTGACCTCTGCTCATTCAACTCTTGCTTTGTAGTGCCTGGCGTCTTGTTGGAATTACCCTTTACTTTAACAACTAGTGTACTTTTGTCAAGGCAGAATGATTTCCGTCTCCAGATGAGAATAGATTAGTGATGTTTGCTATACATTGAATATTTCTATTTCATATTAATGTTAGCAGTATCAAATAGTAGTCACTTGTCACAAATGAATACATTTTTTTCTTTTTTGACATTTTAATTATTGAGATTATTGCTATCTCACAATTTTATAAGTAATAATTTAATTCTATTATATATGCAGACTTTCTAAAGAAGATAAGGTCTTTTTGTGGGAAAAACGCTATTATTGCCTCAAACATCCAAATTGTCTTCCTAAGATACTAACAAGTGCCCCAAACTGGAAATGGGCTAATCTTACCAAAACTTACTCATTGCTGCACCAGTGGCCACCATTGTGCCCATTAGCTGCATTGGAGCTTCTTGATGCAAAGTAAGTTAAATACATTTATTTGATGTTTTATTGTCAAGTTTTCCAGCAGTGTGTTATGCTGCAGGGGTACTTCCCTATTAACAATAAAAACAGCATAAGATAATATGTGTACTTGTAATTTATATAAACATAATCTTTTTCATTGAAATGGTCAAGAAAGCATTTTGTGTCATTTAAAGCTTACCTAAAGAAAGAATTGAGTGTGTAATTTTGAATAATCTATTGTATTAATATTTTATTATTTATTGTGTCATTTATGATTGTTTTAATAACTATAATTGTAATAATTTATAGAGACAAAGTTAGTTTTTAGTAATGCTAAAGTTTTTAAATAATCTGGGAAACAAATCTGTATTTACACAGTAAATTTTTCCTCCTTTTGAAAAAAAGAAAGGTGTTAAGGGAAGGGTAATAGGAAGTAGAAGAAGGAATAGTAAGAATAGAAAGTTTAAGTGGAGATTGTCAGGGAGGGTCAGCCCTAATTCAGTATGTATGAAAATTCCATTAGGAACTTGCTATGTAGACTAGGCTAGCCTTAGACTCAGAGATTGGCTTGCTTCTGCCTCCTAAAGAGCTGTTGATGCCTTGGGGAGTCAACAAAGTTTGGCATACCAAGTTGAGGCAGGACCAAGCACCTCCCCCCTGTATCAAGGCTGAACAAAGTATCCCACCATAGGGAGTGGGCTCCAAAAAAGCCATTTCATACCCCTGACATACTTCCTGGTACCACTACCAGCCCCACTCCCCCAACAGATCAAGTTACATAACTGTCACCCACATTGAAGTGGTCTAGTTTGGTCCCTTGCAAGTTCCCCAGCTTTGTCAGTCCATAGTCTATGAGCTCCCTGTAGCTCAGGTCAGCTGTCCCTGTGGTTTTTTTCCATCGTGTCTTGGCACCACCCCACTACCACCCTTCATGTGATCCCTCCTCTCTGTCTTCAGCCTAACTCCAGGAGTTCAACCCAGTGTTTGGCTGTGGGTCACTGCATTTGCATCCATTGGTTACTGGATGTAGGTTCTGTGATGGCAATTAGGGTAATCTGATAAAAGGGGAAGGCCCGTTCTGACAGCCTCTCCACTATTACTGGGAATCTTAGCAGGAGTAATCCTTATGGATTCCTGATCATTTCTGTAGCACCAGGTTTCTCCCTAACTCCATAATGGCTCCCTCTATCAAGATGTCTCTTTAATTCCTCTCCCCCTCCGCCCCTCCCCTAACTCAGTCTTAACAGCACATAGGTTTTGAATAAGAGCCATTTGAATCTTGTTTGTCAGGGACAGATTAAAATTGTGTTTTCAGTTAATGTTGCTGCATTTGCAAGAAATCACTGTTAAATATTGGTTTTCTGATATTCTAGATTTGCTGATCAGGAAGTACGATCTCTAGCTGTGAGCTGGATTGAGGCCATTAGTGATGATGAGCTAACAGATCTTCTCCCACAGTTTGTACAGGTGGGAGTTTTTACTATGCTACCTTGCTTCCTATTCACCCACCTAGTTTCACTTAGGAGGAACTGGCTATGGGACCCCTTTTCTGTTTTAAAATGCCATTGCAGTACAGCAGAAATGTTGAGGGCACCGTGTGAGAATATAACAAGATCTTCCATTACTGTTGTCTTTCTCTCTTGAGTATGGCACAGGTAGTATGGCATATGACCCTGTAAACTTATAATTTTCAGACTTTTTTTTTTTTTTTTTAATTGTTCAAGACAGGGTTTCTCTGTGTAGCCCTGCTGTCCTGGAACTAGCTTTGTAGACAGCCTTGTCTCAAACTCAAAGATCTTCCTGGCTCTGACTCCTGAGTGCTGGAATTAACTTTGAACTCCACAGAGATCCATCTGCCTCTGCTTCTTGAGTTCTGGGATTAAAGGCATATGTCATCACACTCAGCCCCTATAGTAATTTTTTTAAATATTAATTTATTTGCAGTGCTGTGGATTGTGGATGACATTGCTTCTGCTAAGCAAGTCTTCTACCACTGGGCTATAAAACATAACCATTTTGTTTCTATAAGTATCATATTTTCACCAATGAGTAGTATTTAGTCTTCATATTTGAAGGTTTTTATCTGAACAATTTGGTATGGTTTGACTGCTAATAATTCTTATTTCCTTTTACGCATAGGCTTTGAAATATGAAATTTACTTGAATAGTTCACTAGTGCGCTTCCTTCTGTCCAGGGCATTGGGCAATATCCAGATAGCACACAGTTTATATTGGTAAGATTTAAATTTTATTAAATGGCTTCTTTCTATTGCAGATATTGACAGATTTGGCATAATTGTTAAATATAAACAGGTTGTTCATGATACTTGCTATGAGTAACCAGTTGTGTAGTGAATATTATTTTAATGAAGTTGAAAACTTTAGCTTTAATAATAAAACCAAAATTAATAAAACTGAAGAATATTTGAACATCATAGCCTTATAATAGCTAATGAACTTTTTCTTACTTATATGACTTAATTTCCTGGATATTCAAAATAGAACTTGTTAAAGTGATCTTTGAGGGAGCTTCATCCAGTTCTCAGAAGTGGCTGACATAATTTTTTTTTGTTGCATTAGGCTTCTCAAGGATGCTTTGCATGATACACATTTTGGAAGCAGATATGAGCATGTGTTGGGTGCTCTCCTCTCAGTAGGAGGAAAAGGACTCAGAGAAGAACTTTCTAAGCAGATGAAACTTGTACAACTTTTAGGAGGAGTAGCAGAAAAAGTAAGACAGGCTAGTGGATCAACCAGACAGGTATGTACCCATGAAAGAGAACACAGGTGTTTTGTTTTTGAGACAAATCTCTCTCCATAACTGGGCTAGCCCCTGTGTCCTCCTGCCTTGGCCTCCTGAGTGCTGAGATTGCAGATGTTTGCCACTACACTTGGTCAGTTGAAATTCTAATAAGAACTATGTTGAATCTATAATTATAATAATGTACCTTTATTTTATCTATCTATTTAAGTTTGTTTTTTTTTTTTGTTTTTTTTTTTTTTTTTTTTTTTTTTTTTTTTTTGGAGAGTGGGTCTCTCTATAAAGTTCTGGCTATCCTTGAACTCACTAGGTAGACCAGACTGATCTCAAACTCACAAAGATCCTCTTGCTTCTGCTTCCTAGTGCTGGATTAAAGTGTTCACCACCACACCTAGCCATAGTAATGTATCTTAATTCTTGAACTCAACTTGCCTTCCAACTCATGAACACAGAGAAGGGAAATGTTTTATATTTAGATGTTCTTAAATTCTTTCAAAAATTGTTCCTGTTTTTGTTGAGTATTTTGTGTTTTAAAAAAATGTCTTTTTTCACTTTATCTGAAAGAATTCTTATGAGCACATACAGTTACACTTAACATTCAATAGGTATATAATGTCACAAAGAACTTAGAGTATCATTATGAGCCTCCATGTCCATTGTTTATACATATTTCCTTTCCCTAGTAATGCTATGAACATTGTTGCACACATACATTATTGCACACATCTTTTCCTGTTTCCTAGCATTTCTTCTTTCCTTCTTTTTATGTTTTGAAAAGATGGTTTCCCAGGCTGGTCTCAGACTGCTGAGTTGTCTTGCAATCCTGTTTCAATCTCCCAAGTAACTTATTCTGTAGATATATATTACTGCTCCAGGCTTGCTTTAGTTTCCTTATGAAATATTCCTATGGACAAAACAGTCAAGTTAAGAGCTATATACATTTTAACTATAATGACTTCATTAGATTGTTTTCTCTAAAAAGCCATACTGGGCATGATGGCACATGCCTTTAATCCCAGCACTAGAAAGGCAGGTAGATATCTGTGAGTTTGGGGTCAGCCTGATCTACAGAGTAAATTCCAGGATAGCCAGAGCTATATAATGAGACCCTATCTTAAAAATAAATAAAATAAAGGATAGATATTAGGGGTGGCCTCTGGTAGGTTTCCCATAACCCAGTGAATGACCCACACCCTTGTGTATATGGACATTCCCAATTGGACTCAGTGAGTTATATAGGAAAAGAGAGTTCATTATGTTGGGAGGGACATGTGTTAGGGGATGTAGGACAAGGTAGAAATGAACAAGATACATTATATATACATAGATGAAATTTTCAAAGAACAGACCTTCTGTGCTGGAAGATGGCTCTGTCAGTAAAGTGCTTGTAGCACAAGTTTGAATTTGGATTTCCAGTACCCATGTAAAAGGCAGCCCAAAGGTACCCACATGAAATCCCAGTGCTGGGAAAGCAAAGACAAGAGGATCTCTGGGACTCACTGGCCAGCTAGCCTAGCCTAATCAGTAAGCTTTAGGTTCAATGAGAGAGACTATCCAAAAAAATAAAGTGAAGAGTGATTATAGAAGACACTCACCATTGACCTATGGCCTCCATGTTCATACTCAGAATGAATAGATCTTCATTTTCATGATGTACTTACAGAGGCAATCTCTTTCGTAGGTGGTCCTCCAAAAGAGTATGGAACGAGTACAGTCCTTTTTCCTGAGAAATAATTGTCGTCTTCCTCTTAAACCAAGTCTAGTGGCAAAAGAATTAAATATTAAGGTAACACAATACTTTCAAGTTCATATAAATATCAAAATAGTACACCAGAAAAAGAGTTGCTTAATATAAATGAGGATGAGACCTGTAGTTTGTAAGTACGTAGGAAAAAGTGCCATTGGAT